CATAGTCGGTATTATTCCTGCTCAGAGAAAAATATTCATTATTTCGCCTATTAATCTGCGTTTCATATTTCTTTTTCCAAATTTTATCAACAAGAGAAGGGAAGAATGAATAATACGAAGAATGTAACGAAAATCAACAGCGATCTTCGAAGGAGAGGAAAACAAACGTTTTATCTTTATTCGGCTAGACGTCGGCGCGTCGACGAAATTTAGAAGATCCAATCTGCGGGGGAAACCCGAAGAAACCAATTGATAAATCGAAGAAAATAGAACAGTCCGTGGCGAGGCCGGCGAAATTTTGCCAACGAACGGAACTGCCAGACACCATTTATATAACGTAAAGGATAGCGCAACGGAAAGGATTCGCGAAAGGTGACGGCTAAAGGGAAGACGAATCGACGACACCACCGTGCCAGGCCGCAACTGACATCTTCCATACGTCAAAGCCCCGCCGACTTGTCTTCCGAGCCTCCGAAAATGTTTCACCTTCGTATCCGGATTAAAGAGGGTGGCGAAAGATATTTTATCGCCTCCCTCTCAAACAAGATCGAGGCATGTCCGAAACGCTAAATAATTTAGTCGAGTATAGCTTCGTGTGCCCTTGCTGTCATTTGTAAGTATTTCAATATTTTCGACGACTTCTAATGATAACAAAAGCAAACAACTAAAAATTATCGCCTAGTATATGGAAATTTAAGCACTTTGCTCGGCGGAAGCAACCTAAAATCAGTAACCGATCTCTGTATTTTATACTGAGAGGAAAAGCTTTGCTAATTTAATAAAATATCCCCGAGAGATTTTTCTCAGTGTATCATCTGCATAATTGCAACGTCAGTCGCGACATTAAACGTGACAACAGCATAACTGGAAATTGAATTCTTAGAAGGAGTATCGTGTGATCGTAGAGAGTTTTTAGCCGAGACTGTGTAATCAGTGTAACATTGTGCGAAGGGTGGCACCAAAATCATTTTGGAGAATCCCGATTGCTACCGCATGCGGGCGCGTTTAAAGTCGTACTAATTAACACGGCAGCGATTCAAGATGTCGGCCGTACGGTGGGATGGGTCGAGAAGGTGGAAGTCTTAAGGCAGCGTGTTCTCTCCGGGGAGCCAAGTGTTAGGAGAATTAACAGCAACCCCTGATCTTGGCCCTCTATGCTATCTCCCTAATAATAAACTGGTAATTCCCAATGCCCCTATAAGTTACTCCCTTTCAACGCCACAATGACCTACGAGTGCCAAGACGTATTGTCTACCGGGTGTTCGTGATCTGTTCTATCGCGTTCTTTGTCCCGCGGGCCATTAGTTAATTAAACGGGAAAAACGGCCGGAAAACAGCGCGATGTCATACTTATGCGACACCGAGGCGATAATGTCTCTAACGTCCCAACATCGACTCGTGATCTAACAGGGAACTAACACTCTGAACCGTAGTCATCTTCAAACGTGACATAATTGAACTATGCAATTATCAGCGAACGGAAAATGCAAGGTAAAAATAGATTAGCCATACTTGACGAGAAAGAACATAATAATAACGGAATAAAGAAACATGTGTAATTGATACATGTGTCCGTAATAAGCAATATCTCATTGCTGCGGGACGGGTAATAAATATCTGCGACTTCTTGAGCAAACAAAATTTGCTAAATCTCAACTTTGGTTTACCGCGATGGAATATTGATGATCACCGGTTTCGCGCGCGCGTTCTCTCTCTTCCGGGCATTTAGCGAAACGTACTCCCGACCGGATGTTAATTCGCACTCTGGATGAATTCATCATGATTCCGGTACAATGCTCACCCGTTACATCGTTACAAGCCCGGTGTATCCTAGAACGTGCACACCTTCATCATAGACACCCACCATGGCCTGTAAAGTACTGTGCTTTCCGCGCCAGGAAGGGGTGGAAAACGCGAACAAGAGAGAGGGAGCGGATGTTGGTTACAGAATAGAGAGAACGAGGGATTGTAAACTTCCAGGAGGAAGATTCAACCTCTCGACGGGAACCGCTTAGATTTATGGGCATAAATTCCTATCCAATAAGAAGCGAAATCCATGTATTCTCTAACCGTAACGATACGTGCAGAATACTCGTGCTATAGAAATTCCTTAACAATTAAAAAAGCGCGAAAAAAAATACGCGATTGTACAGAAAAGAATATGTCTCTCTTTTTCTTACAAGATATATATAACAGATTTTTCTGAAATAATTTTTTTTATACGTCGTATTGATCTCTATACGACCGCGTGAACGTTTTTAAAGAATCGTTAAGATAAAAGGATATTTACAAAGAATTTAAAAGTCTAATAGAATGTATAAGCGCAGTATAGTTTTCGTTAAGCATAAAAATAGAAAAACAGTGGTTGCACAAGCAATATTCGGTATATTACATGTTCCATTTTCTCTCGGCGTCGCGAAGCACGCAACTACTGTAACAACATCAGTAAATTATACGAATACACGCTTGATAAATCTAATCGCTCGCCCGCGAAGAGGCACTAAGAAGCAACGAGAAGCGTCTTATTGCAGGCAAAGGATATGTTCTCCTCTGTTTAGCGCGGATATCTGCTCCGTAGATTAGGAACGAAGGGGACGGTAACAGTGACCGATAAATTTCGCGGCGACTGTCTCTTACTTGTAATTAAACGCACAATTTAAACAGACTGTTAGTGTCAACATGGCCGAACTAGAAGGTCTCCTTCCAAAGGAGAGAGCAAATCTTGCGCGATGACACGATGTAGTTATGTGTACCACTTTACACCAACTCAAATACAATACCGATTACACCACCGATCGTTCAAACCTTGAAATTTAATTTGAACTATTAAACAAGCGCATAAATATCACGGGAATACTCTATATTTTCTACTGCTCGTATGATTTAAAAAATACGAATTTGTAAAAATCAAATTGTAGAAGCTAAAAATTCTATATAATTGAAATTTTACTTATCAAAGCGACGATTCTCAAACACACTATTATTGCTTCTATTTACAGCTCTCAAAAGTGTACGACTCCCGAGTGAAATATAATTAAATAATACTTCCTCTCTCTTTCTCTCATATTGTTTCTTTTTAAATTTAACAAATAACATTAAATGACGATTATTTTCTGTAATCCGCGTATTATGTAGCCGAACATGAGGAGCACGTTTTACATATCAAAACGACGATTCTCAAACACACTATTATTGCTTTTATTATTTACAATTCTCAAAAGTGTACGGTTCTCGAGTGAAATATAATTAAATAATACTTCCTCTCTCTCTCTCTTTCTTTCTTATTGTTTCTAAATTTAACGAATAACATTAAATAACGATTATTTTCTGTAATTCGCGTATTATGTAGTCGAACATGGGGAGCACGTTTACCCCCGCGTATACATAGACGAGCTATCATTCTAATTACGATATTGTAATGACCCGCGTCGCGTACCAGTCGAACATCTGCGATCCATCGTGACGGATAAATCACCTTGGGACCACCCTCCAATCGCGTCTCGCCCATCGCCTTGCATATAGACAGTTACTAATGAGCCGACCCCATTTAATTAACCGTATATGGTTTCTATGCAACTGCCAGACTATTTCCCATTGTGTACGCGCGTATTATCGTCGCGACACGCACAGCTTCGACCAACAAATTTATTCCAACGCGAGGCGATATTTCATTGCGACCGCTTTCTTGCGTCGACACATCTGTTCGATTTGTATCGTAGTACAACGCGGATCTATAGATACGAAACGCGTTCGTTAGTAGTAGTACTCTAGAACCAGTTCCGGGACTGAGGAAAGGAGAAAGGACGGCGTAATTCATCGTCGGCCGTTATCGGAAAATGAATTGCAAATCGCTTTGCATGTACAGAGTAATTTACAGATCTTACCAACGTACGTACCCTGTACTTTTGTACAAAAATGCGCAATAAATGAGGTCAATCGAATCAACACTTATTATTGTCCATTATTTAAGTATATGTTAAGACACTAGATTCATAGTGTGGAATAAAACGCGTGAATAAATTGCATAAGAAATTGTTAACGTTATAGCATTTAAAAACGTCGACATTAAAGAAATTGTTAACGTCATGATATTATTTCAATTTTTTACGTTATTTAAAAAATCAGTCTTTCTTTTCTTTCTCTTTCCAATATCCAGTGTCCGTACACTGTGAGAGAAAAAAATCCAAAAAATAAAAAATATTTATTCAGTGAAAATACTAATATATTTACTTATATTAATATAAAATATTTCTTAAGTAAGAAAACATTTTCTTAAAACTTTAGCTCTTCATGGAAGCAATTGTTTATTCTATTTAAAGAAAATAATGTAGATTTAAATAAATACGCATAATTAGTACTCACCAAATAAATATTTTCTATTTTTTTTAGATACTGTTTTCCAATGTGATATTAAAAATTCACAAATGCTGATCTCAACTCTCTTTGTTTACTTCTGTTTACTTCTGTACTGCTGTTTCAGTACATAAGAACAGACAATAACAAAGCAGAGAACATACATGCCCTTGAATTTCAATACAATTAAAATCACTAACTATTTTACGTTATACATTTAAGCTTAGTATATACAGTAAAATTGCAGTAAATAATGTGTGGTATATACATAAACAAAGATTGCAATATAACAGTGAAAAGAGAAAGAATAGAGAAACCTATTGTTCTCTAAAGAAGGACAACCCAACTGCCTCCGTGGCGCAATCGGCTAGCGCGTTCGGCTGTTAACCGAAAGGTTGGTGGTTCGAGCCCACCCGGGGGCGTAATCTTTTGACATTTATATTTTTTTTTAATTAATTTTTTATAATATATTATTTTCTTAATGATGAATTTGTAATATCACAAGTAAGTTCACCGTGAATGAAATTGGCATAATATTAATATTTGAAGTATGATATATACTTAATATGTAACACAACGAGGAACATTGTCGACTTATCATGATTTATGTTTGAAGTGGAAATGTAATAACAGAGATTCAGACTCACAGTGATAAATTGTAAGTACGCACGTCCCTCCAATGGCGCCGTGGCTTAGTTGGTTAAAGCGCCTGTCTAGTAAACAGGAGATCGAGGGTTCGAATCCCTCCGGGGCCTGGAAGCAAAAAAAGTTTGCTTTAAATTTTTGTCATGTTAAACTTTTACAAAAACATAATTGTGTCTAATCAGGATATTTATTTTGTTGGCCTAATCAAAATACATTAAACATCCTACTGAAAATAATTATTAATTGTTCAAATGCTTAAACTGGAAATTATATTATCAATAATAAGCAACAATAATTTAATGAGATTAAATACAGTTAACTATGTAAATTATTGAGACTTGTCTGTATTTCATATATATTCATTCAACATCATCATTGAACATTACAGTGATGGTAATTACTGATTGTTTAAATGCTTAACTAGACATTGTATTGTCAGTAATAATCAACAATAATTACATGAGATTAAATGCAGTTAACTATTGGTCTGTTCTTTTCAGCTGCACTGAACTGGTGCAATAAGTTAGAGTGAGAAAAAATATATTTGTCTCACTTTAACATATTGCACTAATTTAGTAGTACAGTTAAAAAAAACAAACTAATAGTTAACTGCATTTAATCTAATTTAATTATTGTATTATTTAATCATTTTATTATTGACAACATAATATCTAGTTAAGCATTTGAACAATTAGTAATTATCATCAGTACGATATTCAATATTAAATAAGTAGTAATATAAGATACAGACAAGTCTCAATAACTTATTTAACTGCATTTAATCTCATTTAATTATTGTTAATTATTATTAACGATACAATTTCCAGTTAAGTATTTGAATAATCAATAATTGTTATCAATACAATGTTCAACATTGAATGAGTAATTTATTGAATGCTATAAGACACAGACATGTCTCAATAATTTATTTAGTTAACTACATTTAATCTCATTCAATTACTGTTGATTATTATTAACGATACAATTTTCAGTTAAATATTTCAATAATCAATAATTATTATCAGTACAATGTTCAACATTGAATAATTAGTGATAATACAAATTTTATTAATTTACCTGTTTATAGCATATCACTATTCATTCAACGTTGTACATTGTACAGATAATAATTATTGATTATTCAAATATTTAACTGGAAATCGTATCGTCAATAATAATCAACAGTAATTGAATGAGATTAAATGTAGTTAACTAAATAAATTATTGAGACTTGTCTGTATCTTATATTACTACTCATTCAATATTGAATATTGTTCAATATTGAATTATTATTTTATATTGAAGATTATTCAAATGCCTAACTGGAAATTGTATTGTCAATAATAATCAACAGTAATTAAATGAGATCAAATATAGTTAACTATGTAAATTATTGAGACTTGTCTACATCAAATATCTCTACTCATTCAACATGTTAATTTAGACTAACACACTCTCACACTATGACATATATGTGAAAAAATAAATACAAATTACACTGATATTATAACTGTTGATCGACGTAAAAAATATACATGACAATATAAAACAACTGTTCAAACTGCCATAACGTCACTAAGATTATCTCGAGCAAACGCCATTAAGGACTTTTGGCGAGAGCGAGAGACGACTAATGCGTATCATGCTCCATCTTTTTCTTGCAACATACCAAGTTTTTTCCATCCGCCTATAAGCTTGTTACTTTACAGAGGACAAGCGCAGCAGTATCTATTTTGAGCAATCTTAGCCTCGTCGCCAGATTTAACTCGATGCATGCTGTAATTGCGATAGAATTCAACAACACAAGAATTTAACAAACTGAGCATTTGAACAACTATATAGACGTTTGTATACCTGTAACTTGCGTTGTCACCGCAGTCTTGCCGTCCTGATATCGGCTCAATTCCTCGCTCCCCGACTTCCACAATGCGACAACCACACACTCCCGACGAATGGCTACTTTTGGCAATTCGCAGCAAAACTCAGGATCGCCGATGACCACGGTAATCTGGAGCTGGAGCAAACCATTTGCCGCTGAATGCTTCGAAAAGGCGCGCTTTGAAAATGGCGTCGAAGGGAACGCCGCTCCGCGGCGAACGATCGTTTTACGAGGCGACACGATGAAAGCTAGCGGCGCCAATAGCAGCTGAGTGACGCGCGGCAGCGAGGCGAACTTCGTCGTCGTACCGAGCGCGCGCTTGTACCATAACCTTACAACGACATCGCGCTTGTAACCATGTCGTCGTGCACGGATTTGCTGCGACTGAACGAGAAGCGGTTGTTTACGGAGATCAAGGCGAGCCTGCCGAGCGGCGTGAAGGAGACACGGAACATTCTCGAGATCCGCGACAACGTGCTGTACGTGTGGAATGCCGACAAGTGTTGTGTGTTGACACTTAACCTAGCGGCAGCCCGCGGCGAGCCCGGCGAGGACATCCTTTATCAAGTACGTTGAGTGAGTACTGCTTTCATTTTGTTACGCATTCCGTACACTCGCCGATTGTCGAACAAAAGACTTTCTATGTCGCATGTAAACAAGAGAGGAGTATCGAGCGGCATGTGTCGCAACTCTAACCTTACCTTGGCGATACCCGCCGCGCGGCTGCTCACGCGTGCGCCGTTTTCTCGAATACTTTGCATTGAACGAGAATAAATTCTGTTTCAAAATACCTTTCGTTTATTAACATTTTAGAAATAGATGAGTATCAAACATCGATGAAGTCTATTACGTAATGCGTAAGACTGTGTATGTTGCATCGCTATGTGACAACCTTGTTTCTATCGGCATATTTATCGAGATGTTTTCATGTGTCGAGTACAAGATGACGAGATACATTTATGCGAGAAGTTTGAATAACTCGAGATCGCTGGTGTTAACAAATTAAGCGGCGACAAAGCACGATACAAGTCGAGCAATTTTCTGATCTTTCTGCGGCGTTATCGATCACGCGCTTTTGTTTGTCTCTTCGACATTTGGCGAATGCATTGGAATAGTCTAACCAGGGATGCGCGATATTCACCGATTAATCGATACGTCCAATTTTTTTGTCGAAAAATCGATTATTAACTGCCGATATTTTTGAAGTTCGATATATCGATGTTCGATTTCTTTTTGTAAATATTGAAAGTTTGCTTTGCTATGTGCAGTTTCAAATTTAAAATAAAAATATTTAAAATTCAAATTTCTGTCGTAACGTTCTAATGTTATCGACGACTGTTTACAATATAAATTTCAATATATTTATGCTAATATTACATATGTCGTACGATAAGCTTTTCGAATACGTTTATTGATTGGAGGACAGAGTATTTCTAGAATTGCTCTGGGCACCCTAGAAATTCTCTATCCGACAACCAATCAACATATGCGATAAACTTCCAAAATAGAAATTTATCCAGTTTCTGACTAGTAACTGTCCAGAAATTTTTGGTAACTAGCTAGTTTTTAGCCAGTTTTCTTGGCTAGCAGACGCAATTCTTTGTTGTGACAACTAATCAAAGCGTCAATGGCGCTGTTGATGCTTCTAATTATAAAGATATTAATATATTAAAAAATTATTAATATTAAAACAAATGTGTTTAATTTTTAAATATTAAAAAATAATAAAATCAATATATCGATTCTTCGATTTTTTGTGCAATAATCGATTATTCGATATCAATTTTTTCCATTATTATCGATTCTTTCAATAACAGTTTTTTTTTTAATATCGCGCATCCCTAAGCCTAACACGACAATATATACGACATTTGAAGCGTGTGGAATCTATATTATCGACCTCCAAAAAACTCTTGCTCTCAATTAAATACGGTGAATATTTTTTTATTGATGTCAATAGACATGAAATAACACATTAACTCCCTCATTACGAAATAATAGTCACGATTTGTGAATTCTCGTCATAACTTTCGAGTGATTTTTTTTTTTACACAGAAAGATATAAACAGTAAATAATTAAAATTGAGAGCAAATTCAGGAATTGATAGACTGTAATCTTGAGTTTTATTCTCTCAAACGTATCAAGAGAATATTTTCGACTATCTCGTTGCATTAATTGTCACTCTTCCCCTCAAATACACGATGCATTAAACAATAACGCGATTTCTCATTATAACAGATAACTTTTTTAACATTGAAAGATGTCAACAGTAAATCATTAAAATCGTGACCGAATCCAGAAATTGATAGAGACCGAAATTTTTTATTTTACTCTCTTAAGCGTTTCAAGAGAATATTCTCCATCTTGTCGTGTTAATTATTAATCGACTAGATAAAATTATAAGACATAAACAACAAGCTGGGATCATATACGACCTTTTTCAGTTTATTTCCTTCTATATATTAAAGTTTGTATTAGGGTATATAAACAGAAATTTTTAAGAGAAGAAAAATTTTACATTATGCAAAAATATCTTTTTAATGTAGTATCTGACTTTGACGCAAGCATATCACAAAGTCTCAATAGATTGCATTTAAAAATACATACTGAATAACGCGAGACATACGTCTTTGATTCCACCTTGTCGTTGTATCCTTTATAAAGCAAAACTTTTTCTTGTAGTGTTTCTAATATCTATTATAAGTTTACATAACATATCTAGGTACATAACAAATATATGAAATATAAAAAACTTTATAATACTTATGATTATGTTTGACTGATTATGATTATTTGCTTGACAAAAAATCAACCATAATTCATTTAGGGAAAATGGTCAGTATTTTAACCACTTGTGGAAATTAGCTCTTTTTTTAAATATTTATAAATATTTAAATATTGTGTAAACATAAACAAATTGTTCATTTGCACTAATTTGGTGTATTTGCAATTACACCTACGTCAAATTACAAAAATATTAATTTATATTACATACTATATATACAACTAGATATTATACTTTCATTTTCTGGACAGCATTTTTTATGGCAAGTGCTTATGTACTTATAAATAAACCTACCCAAAAGGTACATTCCAATTTCTTTCGAATTTGGCACAAATGTAGAGGTACAAAAAATATTTAAGTCATATTTTTTTATTTTGGCCAACTTTGAGTTTCACGGACAGTTTGTAGCTTTTTAATGTTCTCACTCCTATCATCAACAAATACAAGAAAAATGCATAAGAAAAAAATTGAATACAAGATATAGTTAAATAATTTTAACATAATCGATATAATTAAGACACGAACCATTCTAAATTTCTTTAATCGAGATTCCAAACGAAATATTTGAAATCTGTGATAAATTAGTCGAAAATAGTTCAAATCTCGGCCAAACCGAAATCTAGCAATTTTAATTAAAATTTTAACAAAATCGGCATAACTGAGACACGAAACATTCTAATTTTCTTTAGCTGAGGTTCCAACCTAAATATTTTAAATCTGTGATAAATTAGTCGAAAATAGTTCGAATTTCGACCAAACCGACATCCAGCAATTTTAATTAAAATTTTAACAAAATCGGCATAGCTGAAACACGAAACATTTTAAATTTCTTTAGCCGAAATTCCAACCGAAATATTTCTAATTTGTGCTAGTCAAAAATGGTTCGAATCTCGGCCAAACCGAGAAATCCGGCAATTTTAATTAAAATTTTAACAAAATCGGTATAGCTGAGACACGAACCATTTTAAATTTTTTTAACTGAGATTTCAACCGAAATATTTCAAATCTGTGCTAAATTAATGAAAAATGGTTCGAATCTCGACCAAACCGAGAAATTATTTGTATAAATAATTTTTTTCAACTTTTTACATGTTTTGTTTAAACGTTTTATTATTTATACAAATAATTTTACACATTTGACTTCATATTTATATTCAGCAAACCAAAAACACCTATATCTTGTATTCAATTTTATTTTTTATACATTTTTGTTGCACTTATTGATGATAGGAATGAAAACATTAAAAAGCTATAAACTGCCGGTACAATTCAAAGTGGGCCAAAATGAAAAAATATGACCTAAATATTTTTTGTACATCTACATTTGTGCCAAATTAGATAGAAATTGGAGTGTAACTTTTGGGTAGGATTATTTGTTAGTATAGCTATGAGTAGACCTGTTTTCCATTATATATAATCTGTTTAACATATGGTTATACAGATGATATGTAAAAACGCATAACTGAATGTTCAGTGTAAAACAATAGATATTTTGAACCTTACATAAAGTGATTAAAATATCGATCACAAACTTATAAAAGGTTAAGGGTTAATTGTCATTCTTTTTTCCAAAATATCTGATGCATTAAACGATATCGCGGCAAATGATAAAGAATCCAGGAAGAAATTCCTAGAGAAGGATACTGTCGAGAATTCCTTAGAGACGCAAGGCTGGATCGGTGCGGGCGCACTCGCGGAAAATGATTGCGCGGTAAATGAAAGGGAAGCGGCGCGGCAGAATCGCGGCGGGAATGGGCAAAGCGGTACGTTTCGTTCTCGCTGGCCGCCGGTGCTTTTATTTCATTTCAATGGCACCGTGGGATCAGCGGGTACATTAATGCCTCGGCGCTCGCGCGCGCGCGAACGCAAAAGAGCGGCGAGGGGATAATTTATAGGAAATGGGTTGTTCGACGCTCCGGAGTAATTTAATTAAAATAAATGTCCGCGCCGCGCGGAGGAGCGTTGCCCGCACACGGAGCGTACCCGCGGTTCCACGGACTGCGAATAAAATGCAAATTCAGACCCTTCAGCGAGAAAGGGTCGTGCGTGCTCGCGCGCGCGTGTGCGTATAGGTAGATAGATAAAGGTACCCCTTCACGCGCGCGCACGAGGGTGGACGAAGAGAAAAGAGGTAAGTGCGGAGGGTCCGATGGTCTCTCGGTACCGATCGTCGCTCGTTCACCCGTTGATTCGATAAGCCCCCCGTATTCGGTTAATTTCACTCGTTTTAATTACGCGACCGCGTAATACCGCGTCGATCTTAGCGTCGTGGACGACAAGCCGCGATTAACTAAGATTAATTTGTCCATTGGAGTCAGGGGATCGATGAGAACATTCTCGCCAACATTTCTATCGAGATGCTGATGGAGATAGGCGATCAGCCGAGTGCAAGGTGCAGTACTGTGACGCAAGCGCGCTCAGTCGCGAGAAGTAACTCTCGAGATATCGCCGGCGTTAACTCGCGAACTCGACGACGGAGATATAGATCGAGAGCGATTCGCTGATTCTTGCACGACGAAGGCACCCCGGCGGCATCGATCACGCTAAACAGCGTCGCAGCCGCCGACGTGGCGCGTCAAGCCGCGGCGGCCACTTGGCTCCTCGCTCGTTACCGAGTGCATGCGCCCCGGGCCCGGCTGAAATATCGGTCGTAAATAATAAAAGTTAGCGAGGTTCCTCTCTGGCGCGCACGCCGGGACTTTAAACCGGAAGATAGGTGTCGCAGGATACGGACGAGGGCGACGGTGGGCAAAGTGGCGGCGGGTCAGGGGACGGCGGTGT